CAAGGGTACGGCTATGGGGACCAGGTTTGCCCCAAGTTATGCCAATCTTTTTATGTCCTACTGGGAGGAAATATTTATTGACTCCAGTAAAAAATTTGGGGCAAATCTGGTCCTCTATAAACGTTACATTGATGACATTTTTATAATATGGAATGGAGACGAAGAATCCCTAAAGAATTTTTTAGAATTTTTAAATTTTAACGAATGGAATATTTCTTTAACGTATAAATTTAGTTGTTTTAAGGTGAATTTTTTAGATTTATTAATCTATATAGATAACCAACAAATAAAAAGTAAAACATATTTTAAAACAGTGGATGTAAATAGTTTTATAGATTGTACAAGTTGCCACTTTAAACCGTGGCTTGAAAATATTCCAAAAGGACAAATGCTGAGATTAAAACGAAATTGTACTGAAAAGGAAGAATATGAACAACAAGTAGGTTATTTACCGAAGCAATTTAAAGAAAAAGGATATAAAGAAAAAATTTTAAAACGGGTTTCTGAAGAGGTTGAGCAAATAGATAGAAAACAACTTTTGAAATATAAAGAGAAGAGTAGTTTAAGAGAAGAGGATAATAAAGTTCCATTGATTTTTAATTACTGTACAAATAACCTGGATTTAAAGAAAATTATAGATAGGAATTGGCACATTTTAAAAACAGATGATAAAATATCTAATTTTGTTGGTGAAAAACCAAAAATTATTTTTAGAGGTGCAAAAAATTTAAAACAAATTTTAACAAAAAGTTTTTTAGATGTGGATAAAAACATTAACTTTTTAAAACAACCTAAGGGCTTTTTTTATTGTGGAGTATGTAGGGGGTGTAAATTGAGGAAAGATCAACATAAAAAGATTTTTAAGTTTACATCAAATGCCACAAAAAAAGAATATAATATTAAGTCTTTTATTTCTTGCAATAGTAAAGATGTGATATATATGTTAATTTGTCCTTGTGGTCTGCAATATATAGGGAGAACCTCACGGTGTTTAAAAATTAGGATTAGAGAACATATTTACAACATTAATCGGAAATATGAAAATCACAGTATATCGAAACATTTTCTAGATCATCACAATGCAGATCCAAAAGGTCTAGAGTTTTTTGGAATAGAGCAGATTAAGATACACTGGAGAGGAGGGGATAAAGAATGTCTCCTCAATAGAAATGAAATGAAATGGATTTTTGATATAGACACTTTAAGTCCACAAGGACTAAATGTTGATTTTGAGATCACCCCATACATATAATTGATCTAGTCTATATCAATTTTTTATCTTAAATATATATATGTACTTTTTTAGTTTTAAATTGCTCTTTTATATTCATATTTATATATTGTGCTTATTGTTATATATATTTATGTTTTTATATATTATTCATATAAATATATATATAGGAGAATTTTTTAACTCCTTTTTCGACTATATAGGGTTGATCTCAAAGTTTTGAATATCTCTCTTTCTCCCAATAATTTGTACCTGTATATAAATTAATGTATATATCTTTTTCTCTCCCCCTCTTTAAGAAGAAAATTATAAAAATTATATCAATAGTTTATATTTTTAATGGTCTAATATTGCTATAAATGATGAGTACAAAGATAGTTTTTCTTTTTATTTTATATGTAAAGTATTGTAAATGTGTCTTAATGTAGTTAAGAGTTTGTTTTTGCCAATAATTCGTTGAAAAAAGACATTACAAGTATTGGCAATTTCTGCCGAAACCGGAAGATCGAAAACCGGAAGTGATGTCACCGGAAGTTGCGTCATGACGCTGAAACCGGAAGTTGCGTCAGAACGTGAACCGGAAGTGAAGGACTAAGGTGTAGGATGCCATCCAGACCCGGAAGAAGATCAAAGGAGGACACAAAAACGTGCAAAAAGGCGCCAAAAAAAGGGCGCCAAAACGAATATTTAAAGACTGAAGCATACTGAGGAAAACAGACTTTTGATAAAGGCTCTAGCCGAAACGCGTTAAGTTGGTTTTTATTTAGTGGACTTTTAATTCATTTTACCCAGTGTTTTGTTTTTACCCCTTATGATAGTCTGTCCAATAAAGTTTTATTTTATTCCCTGCATCCTGGAATATTTTAATTACAAATAGAGACCACAAAGGGGGAACAGCCTGGTGTGTGAAGTACCACAAACGGATATTTTCTACGCTTTTAGTCTGAGCCAGCTTATTTTAAGTGGCTCATGACCATGTGAGTGAAACCTTATTTGTCTTTTAAATTTTAAGGTTTTTTACGTTATTACCCTATGTGTGTTTTTTCCCGTTTTTACATATTTTATACAGGAATTAATTAAATACGGAGTATATCTTTCAACTAAGGGTAATTATAAGTGTTGTTTGGAGTGTGCCCTCACCTATTTCTTATTGTAGATTGTATAACCGTTGGCTTCATTATCTCCAAGCTGGGCGGGTACTAGTTTGAATGATACACTGTATTATGATTGGTTGAATACTTGTACTGTACCTGTATCCCATCAGGTCCATGGGGGGCTGTCCCTGGACCTGGGGACTTGCATAAATTGCCATGCTTGTGTGCCAGTAAAGCCAGTTCGTTTTTTGACCCTCAACTCGCAGCCTCGACTCGTGTTGTAGGGATCCGAGAATACTAGCGCTCCTACAGCTAGTGGGATATTTAACACTTTCAGATACTACCGAATGGAACCACGTTCGACTCTCTGACTCCGGGAACCAGGACATCCAAGCGATCAACCCTCCTGCTAGACCGGGGCAACGTAACAAACACCCACACAAGAAACATCGAGGTCAGACAAATAAGAAGGATCTGGCAGGTCTTGTTCTCTGAGAACACTGCAGGCTGCACCTGTGTCAACTAGAAAGGTAGTGGTATGACCCTCAACTGGTAGTACTACGGTAGCTAGGGGCTCCCCTTTATCCATAACAGGGGTGTCAGACACAGGTTTGCCAGTTACCTATTGTACAAGATCTAGGTGAGACTGATCGGGGCCAGAATGACGTGTAGTGGGGTGACTTGTTTGATGGTTTTGACGGGTAGGACGGTAATGAGTGGATGATGAATTATCGGTCTGCTGAAAGTCATTTGAATCATAAGGATCTGTGGGAGGATGTGTGTTAAATTGACCGGGTTGGAAAGTAGCTTGGGTATAATCTTGCGGTGGATAATATAGTGCTAGAGGCTGTGAACGTGGCTGCGGAGGGAAACCATGTTGAGGACCCCCATATGTAGCTGTGTGTGCGCTGGGATGTAGAGGAGGTCTGATAGGTAATGGGCGAGTTAGCCGTGGATGTGGGAAATCCCTGCAAAGATGATCTGGTGAGTGACAATTGAAGCAAACCCTGGCCGGAGGCCTGAGTGCTGGGGGCTGTCCTGATGGACCAGGCATAATAGCCAATGTGGGGTGACTCTCTAGAAGTAGAAAACATGAGTGGGTTACATTTCTTCGATGTAGGCAGCAGAACTGATTCTAAACCCTTTGCAACTAATAGGAGAGTGTCCAAAGGAATAATTCTGTATTCAGGACGAGCGAGTATTAAACCCTTCCTGATGGTCTCCTTAAGACCTGCCACAAAGGCGGCTGACAACATCTGAGTATGTGCTTTGTTATATACACTGAACCCAAGATCGGAAAATGTTTGGGTTAACTTGGAATGATATTTTTCCACTGACTCAAGTTTGTCTTGTATGATATCATTAATGCAAATGGCCTGGTCAGCTAGTTTATCCTGGGCCCAGGCTTTGAGTTGTTCACAGAATACAATACCCGACTGAAAATCTGTATCAGTTGTGAGTACAGCATCGTAGAAACTCCTTTCCATAATTGGCCAATAGGCATCCCCAGCTTTGATCTCACACAAACTATACAAATCACGCCAAGCTGCTGAGTATGTTTTACAAATCTGAGCAACTCTTCGGAAAAAGGGCATGGGTTGTTTCTCTGGATCGGGGAGTGAGGTTACCAAAGTAGCAGCTTGGGATGGGTTAAATGTTACATATATTGGCGGGGCTCCTTTCACTGCTGAGGTGGTAGGAAGGTGAGCAACTGCAATAGTTTGTCTTTGGTATTTGAGGGACGGAATGGGCTTTGTTATTTGAGGGACGGAATGGGCTAAGCTCCGGCACATTATCATCCCCTGGTGGGACTGGGAGACCATGATAACTGACAACCTCAAGTGAGTTGGGGACCGGAGCCACCGGGGTATCAGAACCGGGAGGGCCAACAGCGATTGTCTGGGGGGTGACTAACTGAGACGTAGTGGGATGGAAACCTGAGGCAGCAGGGGAAGCATCAGCAGCCTGAGGTTGTCCTGACATGACAGACTCATTTGTCCCAACAATCATGAGCGGATAACTGGGGGTGTTTGTCGGTGGGGTAGGAACCGGTACTAGAGCGGGTGAAGATGTGGGTTGGGTAAATTGAGACAGATGGTTGGAGAGGGAGGAGATAAGTGACGCGAGATGATGGGTAGAAACACCAGAGTTAGAAGTAGGAGGGGGAGAAGGATCTGAAACAGAAACAGGAAGAGCAGGTTGTGGAGGGGGAGGAGGGGGAGGAGGAATCGGTGGAGTAGTGAACGAAGCCAGGAGTGTGGAAATGAGTGACGTATCAGAGGGAGGAAGAGGAGGAGGTTCTAACATGGGAACTGTAGGAATGGAGGGGGATGGAACAGTGGGAGTGGAGCCAGGGGCGAGGAGAGTGGCGAGGGTGGAGACAAGGGATGGAAGACCACGAAAAGAGGAGGGAGGATCCCCAATGGGGGTAGGAGGAAAAGGAGAGGGATGGGGAATGATGGTGCTGGTAAGGGGGCAACATCTGTAGCGACCTGTGGTGGTGGAGGTGAGGAAGCATCAGCAGGGAGAGGGCCCGGGCGTGAGGATGGAATGGAAGTAGCGGATGGTATGGCTGATGGTGATGGGAGAGGGAAGGCACCAAGGACGGGGTACAGAGTGGTGGGAGTAGGAGGCCCTTTGGTAACGGGGGGTGGAACAATTAGGGGCGGAGATGAGGTAGTGTCTGAGGATGTGGGGCATGGTTCACTTGTGACATTCTGGGCGCCATCATAGGGTGGTGGCCGGGGAACAATAGTGGATGAATCATCATCATTACAAACATTTCTGTGATACGCAAATATTGTCTGTCCTCCAAAATCAATTTCCTCTTCTGACCATCCCTCTCGTTTGAGACCTCTTGCAACACGATACCAAGCCTCTACTGCTTTCGTCAATCCATTGTCTAATAAGATACCTTCCTTATCAACAAGCAATTTCCCCCAAAACTCTGGTTGTAACCTACCACTGGGTGACATTTGGAAACCACAAACGTTTGCTATTTTTTTTATTTTTAGCATAGCCTCCTCTCCTGCTCTTTCCTTAACAATGTCACAATCTAAGAGGCCCTTTGAGGGTCTAGCATGTTCTTGTCCCATTTTAGTAAACTAAGTTCTCCCCATAAGAAGGACAGAGATAGGGAGAAGGAAGAGAAGGAACGTCTACAGTGCTCGACTGCCACAAGGAATTAATTCCTGTACGTCTTCCCAAAACATAGACTAGTCACGGGATCCACCCACCCGAGATGGTGGCCACGGATCAGTACGGGCAAGCGTGGGTGACTAACACAGCTCTGGGCAACAAGTATAGGAGATGTAGAGAATCAAAGAGAAAGTGAACGTAGAAAGACTAATCAGTAAACATTTACAAGAATCACAAATACGGAGGTGTACACATATTCCGGAATTGAGTGTGAACCACACAAAACACACACACGCAATGAGGGTACCCACACTATGGCCACAGCTGAGCAAAAAGCAAAGTATAATAGGAAACTATAAGAATGCGAACATAGCAATAGTTGCATCCCTGTGGATTTTTTTCTAAGAAATTAACAGAAACAGAAAAAAGATATGATATTGGAGACAGGGAATTATTGGCTATTATCTCAGCTCTTAAAGAGTGGCGCCATCTGTTAGAAGGGTCAGCTATTCCTATTACCATCCTTACGGATCATAAAAACCTTTCGTATTTTGGAGAGGCCAAAAGAATGACAGACAGGCAGATGCGATGGTCTTTATTTTTAACACGGTTCAATTACATTGTAACTTACAGACCAGGGTCAAAGAACACTAAGGCTGATGCCTTATCCCGTCAACATGAACATTTATCACCTCCTGTAACCCATTTTTCCTCCATAATCCCAACCAACCACATAATTGCCACTGTCCATGCCAAAATCTCTTCTGGGTTAATGGAGGAACTATCCAAGTTCCAGGATTGTGCCTCATTAACAGTTCCCCGGGGAAAATTATACGTACCCTTGGCTTATAGAAAAAAGGTCTTATCCCTTGTATACAACTCCAAATTGGCACGGCATCCGGGTATTCACAAAACTGAATCTTTACTCGAAAAACAATTCTGGTATCCTTCATACAAGAAGGACGTTCGTGAGTTCGTTATTGCATGTAGGATCTGTGCCTCTACTAAATCACCCAAAGGTCGTCCTTTTGGTTTCCTCTTGCCATTGCCCATTCCCGATAAACCATGGTCGAGTATTGCCATGGATTTTGTAGTGGACCTGCCTCCCTCCAAGAATCATAGTGTTATATTGACTATAATCGACAGATTCTCTAAAATGACCCATCTGGTCCCGTTAATCAAATTACCTTCTTCTTCCTAACTGGCATCTTTATTTATAAAAGAGGTGGTACGTTTGCATGGCATACCTCAAGATATTACTTCCGACAGAAGGCCACAATTCGTTTCACGGTTCTGGAGGGCATTTTGTGACCAACTAGGTATTAATCTTAACCTTTAAGCTTCTTACCATCCCCAATCAAATGGGGTTACAGAAAGGATGAATCAATGCCTTGAACAATATATCCGCTGTTTCACTTCTGAGCATCAAGACGATTGGGTGGATCTACTTCCATGGGCTGAATTCGCCCATAAAAATCTGGTGCACGAATCTACTCAACATAGTCCCTTTTTTATTAATTATGGTTTTAACCCTATAACTCTGCCAAGTTCTTTTTCATCTACTAGAGTGCCTAGTGTTGACAGCGCTATCAACGATATGAGAGAGACTTGGTTAGGGGTTAAACATATTTTGACTCAGAAGGCCCAGATTCAAAAAAATAATGCAGATAGATGTCGTAGAGCTGCTCCTACATTCGTAGCAGGTGACAGAGTATGGTTGAGTACTCGTAACATAAAATTAAAAGTTCCCTCAATGAAATTCGCTCCCCGTTTCATAGTTCCTTTCCAAGTACTCAAACGCATTAACCCAGTCTGTTATAGCCTACGCTTGCCGAATGCCATGAAGATTCCTAACTCTTTTCATGTTTCCCTCTTCAAACCTTTAATATGTAATCGTTATACTCAAAATACCTCAAATCCTCCTGTCGCACTCATAGAAGATCAAAATGAATACGAAGTTAAGTCTATATTAGATTCCCATATTTCCAGGGGTAAATTGCAGTATCTGCTAGATTGGAGAGGATACGGTCCCGGGGAACGTTCATGGGTGGATGCCTCTGATGTTCATGACCCTCACCTGGTTCGTTTATTTGAGAGGCGACGTTCACGCGGGTCTGGTTCTGCCCGCCCTGTGGGCGGTTCTCGAGGGGGGGTACTGTAACGATCACTTACCTTTCCCCGCCGGACCCGCGCAGCACAGCATTCTCCTACCATACTTCCGGGAGGCGGCTCAGTCCTTCTGACACCGGCCGCTCGGAACACGCCCATTTTCAGGACACAGCGCATGCGCGCCGACATCGGCAAAATAGTGCTGCCAAAATTCAAACGTGGCCACGCTCCCAGACCTTTTGGGGGCGTGGCTTTAAAGCTAGAGATCCCACACTATAAAAAGGTAACCTTGGCACTTGTTAGGCGCCCTAGTGTGGTTCTTGTTTGAGTCCTCTAGCGCTCTTTATTTCTGATTGTCTTTTTGGTATCTGACTCTTGGCTTACACTCTGACTATCCTGTTCTCTGGTTTCCCATTGTTTTGGCTTGGATTATTGTGTGCCCATCTTCTGTATTCCCTTGACCTCTGGCTATTCCTTTGACTACTCTCAGACGCAAGTCCGGTATACGTCTTCCTCTGGGTTTCACTCTGTGTGAAGGGGTCACTGTCGTGACACCATAAGGATAGTGGCATAGCCATTAGAACTAGGAAGTTCCACAATGAAATCCATGGACAAATAGGACCATAGAACATTAGGCACTGGAAGTGGGTGCAACAAGCCACATGGAAGCTTATGAGCAACTTTCGAAAATGCGCAAATTGAAAAAGCTTGCACATAATCCTTAATGCCTTTCCTGAGAGCATCCTACCAAAATGATCTCATGATCGTGGATATGGATTTAATAATGCCTGGGTGTCCAGCAGTCACGTTGTTATAGAACACCCTCATGACATTCTCTCTTTCACTCAATGGAACAAACCATTTATCTAGTGGTTTAATGCATGGCGCCTGAGACTGAGCCTGCATGATGGCGCCAAGCAGAGGTTTGGCCTGACTATTCTAATCTTTAACGCTAATCTATGGTGGCGTTAACCCCTTCTATACCCGGGGTGTCGTTACAGCTACCTTCCAACGTTAGTGGGAGGAGCTTACTTCCGAATGCGGAAGTAACCCCAGGGGAACAGAGTCTTGTTAAGTTCTGACATACACATATATATATATATATATATATATATATTTATTTATTTATTTTTTAACCTGTTTGCTTTATTAACTTTTTTTTTTTGTCTGTCAGTTTAGGCAGTCCCCCTGCAGGCAGCTGCATAGTCAGCTATGCCTGCCATGTGATCCCTCTTTGAGAGTGATCACATGGCCCCCGGGGGCCTAAATTGCTGAGGGGGCACTGCCTGACAGCCCAGAAGAGGATTGCGGCAGACGTGAGTACACCTCTGCCGCTGGGGCTGAAAGCCGTTCTATGCTGCTCTAACGGCTTTAAAGCCCATTTTAATGGGAACGGCATAGAATGCCCTAATGGCATTAAGGGGTTAAAGGAAAAAAAACTGAGGTTAATCCTAATTATAAACAGAAGCCAAATGCAGATAAGTAACAAAATTAAAAATAATAATAATCAAAGAAAATAAATAAAATCAGAAAATAGAATGAGAATAAAGATGAAAATAAAATAAATATAGATAATAATAATATTAAAGAAATTATAATAAAAAATGTAAAATTGGAAATAAAATAAAAATAATAGTAATGAAATAACTATTGATTAAAGTGTGACATATGGGTTTGTGTAAAACTGTCATGTATAATACCTGAATTTATCACATATTTTACAATCGGGAAAACAAATGATAAATTAATAAATTAATTAAATTAAACCATAGTCACCAAGAAAACAATTGGTAACACACTACGCCGTGAAGGACTGAAATCCTGGAGTGCCCGCAAGGACGCCCTGCTCAAGAAAGCACATGTACAGGTCCGTCTGAAGTTTGCCAATGAATATCTGAATGATTCAGAGGAGAACTGGGGAAAGTGTTATGGTAAGATGAGACCAAAATCAAGCTCTTTGGTTTCAACTCAACTCATCTTGTTTATAGGAGGAGGAATGCTGCCTATGACCCCAAGAACACCATCCCTACCGTAAAACACGGAGGTGGAAACATATGCTTTGGGGGTGTTTTTCTGCGAAGGGGAAAGGACAACTACACCACATCAAAGGGACGATGGACAGGGCCATGTACCGTCAAATCTTGGGTGAGAACCTCCTTCCCTCAGACAGGGCATTGAAAATGGGTCGTGGATGGGTATTCCAGTATGACAATGACCCAAAACACATAGCCAAGGCAACAAAGGAGTGGCTCAAGAAGAAGCACATTAAGGTCCTGGAGTGCCAAGCTCCAGACTTTAATCCCATAGAAAATCTGTGGAGGAAGCTGAAGGTTTGAGTTGCCAAACATCAGCCTCGAAACTTTAATGACTTGGAGAGGATCTGCAAAGAGGAGTGGGACAAAATCCTTCCTGAGATGTGTGCGAACATGGTGGCCAAGAAACGTCTGACATCTGTGATAGCCAACAAGGGTTTTGCCACCAAGTACTAAGTCAAAGAGGTCAAATACTTATTTCACTCATTGACACAAAAATCAATTTATAACTTTTATGACATGCGTTTTTCTGTATTTTTGTTGTTGTTATTCTGTCTCTAACTGTTAAAATATACCTACCATTAAAATTACGGATTGATCATTTCTTTGTCAGTGGGCCAAAGTACAAAATACTTTTTTCCCTTTCTGTAGATCATATCCACTGCAACACCCTGATCTATACTTCTACTTACTTCTTTGTAGAATGCAATCAAGTTAGTTTCA